CAATTCCAACATGAGACGATTGTTTGAAGTACCTCGCCCTAAAGCTTAACCTTCGGCTATCGGCCTCTTGTTGATCAATCTGCCTCATGGCTTTCCGACATTTGTCCAGGCCGTAAGAACCGCGCTGTGGTTCTATCACGCAAGGGCTCGGAGCTGGAGAAACTGCTCATGTAAGAGGTGTTCCCTCCATGCCACAGGATCCTAGCGCACAGGCTGCCGTTCACCCAAAATGCTCGTTTTGGATGTCTACCACCAGACAAACAGCCCACAGGATCCCATTGAAACCGGTTTCGCATTCGTCGTGTCTGGAGCTGGTACCTTGCGTCAGTGGGGGTTCGTCATGACTGGACGACAGCTGCTAAATATCAACCAAAAGCCAACCTCGTCGCTCGACCTTTTCGCTAATCCTGTCCCCGTGTGTAAAGTGACGACGACGAAGACGAGCGGGAAGACACGATGAAGTTTAGTGCTGTTGCGACCCTTCTCACCGTCCTTGCGGCGGTGACCTCCGCCAACCCAGTGACACGGTCGCACAGGCACGTCGTGCACGAGGAGAGGCACCCTGCCCGACGGGAATGGGTCAAGAACCACCGGTTACACACCATGGCCAGGCTGCCAGTCCGGATTGGTCTAGCTCAGTCAAACCTTCATCGCGCAAACGAGTTCATGAATGATGTTGCGCATCCCGACTCCCCTAATTACGGCAAGCACTGGACTCATGACGAAATCGTCGAAATGTTCGCTCCGAGGCAGGAGTCGATAGCTTTGGTCATGCAATGGCTCGAAAGCGAAGGTATCCACCGGAGTCGCGTTGCGCTCTCCAAGGGGCGCAACTGGGTTCAGTTCAACGGCACCGCGGGCGAAGTCGAGAGACTCTTGAAAACGGAGTACCACGTCTACAAGCACGAGCAAGGCCACACCCACGTTGCTTGCGACAAGTACCGTCTGCCGGAGCACTTGGTCGATCACGTCGACATCATCACCCCCTCAGTCCACTTTGACCAGAAGCTGGGGCAGCAGCGCAAGAATACCAAGCACGAACTCACCGAGGAGCATGTTGAGGAGCTCAAGAGGCGACAGCTCAAGAAGCGTGAGCTCACCAAGCGGGGCATTAACGGCATCAAGAACCCCTCAATCGTGGGTAACCCGGACAGCGGAGCCGGGCCCAAGCAAGGTGCCGTCGTTCAGAACGCGCTCATGAGTCTCGAGCAATGCGACATGATGATCACCCCGGATTGCCTCAGAGCTCTCTACGCAACGCCGCCAGGATCGCTGAAGAACTCCAACAACACGCTCGGAATCGTGGAGTACACCCCGCAAGCCTTCCTCCAGAGTGACCTGGACATGTACTTCAAGGAGTTTGAGCCTCGTCTTGAGAAGACGCCCCCAATCGTCAACCTGGTTGGAAACGCCGTCGTCCAGACTCAGAATCAGAGCTTCCGCTTCAACGGAGAATCTGCTCTCGATCTCGAATTTGCCATGGCCATGATCTTCCCTCAAACGGCTACTCTTTACCAGGTTGGTGACATCAACCAAGGCGCAAGTTTCAACAACTTCCTGGACGCGATTGACGGCAGCTACTGCACCTTCCAAGGAGGCGGCTCCAAGGATCCGAACATTGACGGACAGTACAGCAACAAGGTCTGCGGCTCGGCGCCCATGGTGAACGTCATCTCCACAAGTTACGGCTTCAACGAGGCCGACCTCGGTCGCAAGTACGTTGAGCGCCAATGCGCCGAGTACATGAAGCTCGGCCTGCAGGGTGTCACGGTTTTGTACTCGTCTGGGGACTCAGGCGTCGCTGGAAACGGGAAGCAGTGTATCGACTCGCAGACTGGCGCCTACAACGAGGGTGCCAACGGCATCTTCAACCCCTCATTCCCCGGCGGATGCCCCTGGGTTACGTCCGTCGGCGCTACCCAGGTGTTGGAGGGCTCAACTGTTCACACCCCCGAGAGCGCTTGTCAGAAGGCCATCTTCTCCGGTGGCGGCTTCTCCAATTATTTCGCCATCCCCGATTACCAGAAGAAGATGGTCGGAGAGTACTATGCCAAGAACGCGCCGCCCTACGGCGGAGATCGCTACAACAACTCCAAGGTTGTGCGTGGCTTCCCGGACATTGCTGCCAACGGCGCCAACTACGTAACTGCTGTCAACGGCAAGTTTTCTCTGTCGTTTGGCACTTCGGGTAAGCATTTCAAAGCCACTTGTTCAGTCACTCCCGTACTAACATGCACACAGCATCCGCGCCAGTCGTCGGCTCCATCATCAACATGATTAATGAGAAGCGCATTGAGGCCAACAAGAAGCCCGTCGGTTTTATCAACCCTACCCTCTACGCTCATCCCGAGATCCTCAACGACGTGACCAACGGAGACAACCCGGGCTGCGGCACCAAGGGTTTCTCTGCCGTGCCAGGATGGGATCCTGTGACCGGCATGGGGTAAGCTTCGCGCCTGCATCGTTGACATCGTAGAAGACATCATCGCTGACCTATGATCTTAGCACACCTAATTACCCGGCGATGGAGAAGCTCTTCATGAGCCTGCCTTAATGGTGGGGGGGAGATACATTCGCATCACATAATCGCATCCATACACAGATGGGTTTGCAGAACATAAGGCATACAAATACATACACGGTGCCCCCTTTTGGCCGCGGACCGGTTAGCCGCAGGCCCTGTACAACAAAGGAATAGCATTGTAGATAATTAAGCATAATAGAGGTATTTACAGAGGCAATCGTTTCAGCATGAATGCGTCATCGACGTCTCGCAAAGCAGGATGATCATCGCGGCCCGGGTGAATGGAGAAGATCTAGTCACCCAAATGACTGGGTCGAAAGCGCCTTTTCGACTGCAAAGGAATCTTCCGAGTGAATGTGAGGCCCGGACATGAGCCCGGCGGCGTCAACTGCCAAATGCGGAACGCTGAATTTTCGGGCGCTCATCCGAATAGCCGTAGACATCTCGGTGACGAAAAACCAGAGGTTCCAGGTCCAGTTCCCGCGTTTCGCCGGCGGATTAGTAAAATGCCGGCGCCGAGAGACACCCCGACCCGACTGGGTAAGCTAAACGCCGAGAATTGGGGGGGAAGTTTACCACTGCGTTGCATCATAGGTGCAGCTCCCACCACCCACCCCCGGACCAGTGCCTCCCACCTGCGAAATATCATCAATCGTGCGCCGCGACGACGCTTTTTTTTGACAGCTCCCTCGTCTGTGTGATTTTCCCTCGACAACCCCCACAACGCGAAGCGCATACGATGGCGACGGCGATTCAAGCTTTGAAGGGCGATGCGCCGCAGCAGGTCCGGTCTTTGGTGCGTATTTTCTTTGTTTTTAGCTGGGGGGAAGAAATTTTGCTACCGGCTGCACGACTGCGATTTGTGATATTGGGGTTCAAATGGACAGAACAAGACGCTAACGAGTGATTTTTGGGGTCTTCTAGTACCGACAGATGCTGAGGACGGGCGACCAGTTTGCGGCGTACAATTTCCGCGAGTACGCGAAGCGCAGGACGAGGGATGCGTTCCGGGAGAACAAGAACGTGACGGACCAGCGGAGGGTGCAGGAGCTGATCCAGAAGGGGCTGAATGAGCTCACGGCTATGAAGGTGAGGCTTTTTTTTCTTTCTGCGGGAGATGGAGGATCTTTTCTCTGAGGGCGGTTTAGCCCCGGGGAGGGGTTCTCTGGTGGCGATGCTACGGCAGAGGGAGCATTTTTGAGCTAACGAGGTGACTGCGCAGAGGCAAACGGTCGTCAGCCAGTTCTTCCAGTTCGACCGTTTAGTGGTCGAGGGCGGTGCCGCGGGCAAGCAGAAGGGGGACAAGGGGGACATCGTCAGGCAAAAGGATCAGGGGTGAGTAATGTTTTGAGATGCGTCCGTTTTTGTCTGCTTGCAGTTGCTGATTTGTTGCATCACAGATGGGACTAAGAGTTTTCATATCACCGGGCCGCGACGGCAGATAATAATACTGAGGAAAAGAGATATCGGAGAGACTTGTACTATATCATGGACACCAGAGAGACAAACCGGGAGAGAGAGAAAGTGTGTACCACTACACGACATTTTTGCCGCAACGATTGAAAAGAGAGGGGTTCCGCTGGTTTCCATCATGACGAATACCTGACTTCTCGGGGAAATGTTACGAGCACGAGGGGAAAGGAGGAACGGCGGCGGCGGCGGATTCACCAGCAAAAAAAGCTCCACTCTTGGGAGTTTTGGTTTTCAAGGGCTTTTGGGCATAGACATGGCAATGGAGTTTCTATGAGTGCTGGGCCTTCAGCTTTTGCCCTTTTGCTTCTATACTCGAATGTTGGTGCTTCGTGATGAGACTCTTTTCTCCATAGGCGTTGGAGAGCTTGGTGATTGACAAGGATATAGCTTCATGATGGGCTTCAGTGAGTTCAGAGGATGGTGATGGAAGATTGTCCACCGGGATACTTATTGCACTGATGAATGAGGATAATCCTACAGTGTGGAGCATTGACAGTTAACAACATCAAAGGGCTGCGAGCCATTTCGACTCAGGAGAAGCGAAGAAGGTTGTACCTAGGTAGCTTTAGAAATCGATGATGCACGGTGCCTCTGCCGGTATCCCACTATGACACCGAGCCTCACCTCCCTTGACCGAAACCTGCACGTGACGTGCCCCGTGACTTCGGCGCGTTTTGGTTCGCGACGAGGCTGGGTCCCCCGGCGGAGCCAATCCCAGGCATGGCACGGCTGCAGTACAGCTTGTCTATCGACCATCCAAGCAACACCATTACGAGCGTCGCACTGCTTCGCTCAATTGAGGTCGCAGACCTGAGAGCATCTGTCGCGAGTATTCGCACTCAACGCATGCATCGCGAAGTCCCGGTGTCTCGACGCAGCTCGCCGGAAACCACGACCCGATCGGACGTCCTACGCGCATCGCGACAGTGTCAATTTGGGTAAACCGTGAAAAACGTCGCATAATCTTTGTTTTGTTATTTTGTTGTAAATTGTAGAGTTCAAAATGGCGCCTGGCGTAAGTTCCATCGTTTAGCCTACTTTCAAAGACTGCATGCACCCTTGCGTCTAACACAAGCATCTCCTGCAGACTCGACGCGCGAACCGCAGCGGCTACGCCGAACATGATGACTTCGAGGGCCTCCCCGTCCGCCAATGGCGCCAGGAGTGGGTAAACGTCCAGCCGCCCCAGCAGACCGAGACGACGCAAAAGAACGACATCTGGGACGTCGAGCTCCCGTGGGGCATGCCCAAGGACGCGGGTCTGCTGCCGCAACACAGCCAGGACCTGCTGCGCGCGGCGCGGTCTGGTGTTCTGTACAAGCGCCCTGCTCCGGCGGAGGAAGACGAGGAGAACGCGGACGCGGTGGCTGAGAAGCCCGAGAAGAAGGAGGACGAGACCGCGGACAAGGGTTTCCAGATCAAGGTGTGGAAGCAGATCAACCGTAACTCGGAGGGTACTACGGTCTCGCACCTCGCGAAGCGCAGGAAGGGCACCGTCACGATCTCGTCCAAGACGGTTGCCGCTACGCCTGTCGGCGCGACGGTAACTAGGGCTACCGTGCGAAAGATGGATGCGGCGGGCAACCCGTACACGCAGGAGATCACGCTGCAGGATGGGCAGCAGGTCGAGGGCGAGATCATTTCGACGACGGTGGTGCCTGTTGCGGCCCTCGATCCGGCGCAGCAGCAGCCCCAGCGCGTCAGACGGCCGCCCCCGCCCAAGAAGAAGAACAAGCCTGGTCCTGGGCGCGGGCGCAAGAAGAAGAATCTGCCTTTGCCTGCGCCGGTTCCTGGTGCACCTGCCGTTCCTAGCGCTGTGCCGCCTGTGGAGGGTGCTCCAGTCGTGCCCAAGGTGGAGGGAGCCGAAGGACCAGAGAACGTGCGTAGACAATCGCTCATATTTGCGAAATCGTTACTGACTGTGCCCAGGGTGTTATCAAGCAGGAGCGCGAAGATTCGAACAAACCAGACAGCGAGATGGCCGACAACGATGACGATGAGGAGGGTGACGATGATGGTGACGATGGAGATGACGGCGACGACAACGAGGAGGAGCATCGCGAGGGCGAAAACACAGACAGTCAAAGCCAAGACCACGAGATGACGGACGCATCACCATCCATTCCGACACCGACAGTGGTAGACGCATCGATTGTATCTACCGAACCCGAGTCGCCCTTGGCCAGCCGGTCTGGGCAACCTCCGAACCCCATCAACCTCGCACCACCTCTTCCCGCCATGCATTTGGCAAACTCCTCGCCAAGGGGAAGTCCTCTCAAGAACGTCGTCTTGCCCTCTCCCACCGAGGCGTCGCCACAAATCTCGCCCATTGCGGAGATCTTGGCCCCCTCTGCTGCTCCAGCACCCATCGCATCAGAGGCCCCTGCAGCTCCTGAGGCGCGCGCCGTCCCTGAAGCTGCTCCCGTCCCAGAGCCATCCCCAGTTCCAGTTCCTGCGCCAGTCGTCGAGTCTCAGCAGGAGGACGTGAACATGGCCGACCAGCCCGAGCCCGCTCCCGAGGCGCCAGCCGAACAGCCACCGGCTCCTGCGTCTGAGCAGCTCCCCCTGGATACGACTTCGGAGTCGGTCAACGAGACGTACATTCCGCCTGCTGAGAAGGTCGGTGACATCGTCTCTCCGATGGCAGAAACGAGATCCACCTTCTCTTTGGCAACCACGGCAGAGACAGAAGGCTCCGGGTCGAGGATAGAAAGCGCCGATCAGACCATTGCGTCGAATGATGCTCCTCAGGAGGATTCGATGGCTCTGGATATTCCTGAGATTCCTGAAGCCTCTCAAGGACCCGAGAATGCCTCTGTCCCCGAGGTCAATGAAGCTCAGCCGGTCGCCAAGTCACCATCAGCTCCGGCTGTCGAGGAGCAGCCGGCTCCCTTGGTCCAGGAGGACTCGGAGATGAAGGATGACAGCGCGCCAGCCCCGTCGGTTGCTACTGAGCAGCTTTCTTTCCCAGACCCTGTGGAAGAGAAGGGGACGAGCGAGCCTATGATTGAGGATGTCCCTGCTACTGTTGCGCCTACGGAACCTGAGCATCACCCTGAGCCCATCAAGTCGCCTATGAAGTCTCCTGTCAAGTCTCCGCTGAAGTCGCCTGAGCCTGTCGTTGCACCTATCGAGCCTTTACCGCCGATCGAGGCAGCGGCGGATGTCCCGAGCGATGCACTCACTCAAGCACTGGATCTGCCCCCCGTCGAGACACCTGCGGAGGTTCCAATTGAGGCGCCTGCACCAGCACCCATCGAACCCACGGTCGAGCCCGAAGCGCCTGCGGAAGAGCTCCCTGTTGACATCCCTGTTGATATCCCCGTCGACATTTCTGCCGATATTCCCATGGATACTTCAGTTGATGCTCCCATCGAGACAGCCGCAGAGCCCCAGGTGGACGCAGCCGTCAAAACCCCCAGCGAGGCTCCCGTCGAAGCTCCGACACAGCTGCCCGCTGATGCCCCACCAGCGCCCATTGAACCGCCAGTTCAGACAATCGTCGAACCCCCGACTGAGCTATCCGGCGAGAGTCCGACAGCGGAACCCGAGGCCAACCCGCCTGCCGCCGCGGAAGTGCCACTCGTCCCCGGTGTAGACGAAGGTCCCGATTTGTTGGCTGGTTTGGAGACGGAGCTGGACCGCCAGGCCGAGATGAGCAAGTCTCCTCTGCCCGAACCACCCGCAGCCCCGCACCCGGAGCCTGCCGAGCTGCCGCATGTAGAGAACCCGGTGCCTCTGCCTGAGGTCCCTCCCATCGAGCCGGAGAAGCCTGCTGAGGAACCACCGAAGGTGCCTACCCCTGAGCCCGCAGCTGCGCCTGTGCCTGAGCCTGCGCCGGAGACGGCTCCTGCTGCTGATCCGACACCGGCGGTTGACGCCCCTGCCTCCGGAGAGCCTGCTGCCACCGGCGACGACCCTGGGGAGAAGATGGAGACGAAGACGGATGAGCCTGCTGACCCTTAGTTGAAAAAGGCGGTCATTCCTTCTATCGTGAGCCGATGGGCGCCGAGGCGTTGGGTGTTTTGAGTGTGTTATTGTAAGCGCGGTATTGCCCCTGTATATGTATGTTCATGAGGAGAGGGTGTATAGACGTACAGTTTGAACACTGGTAAACAGCCGCCTTGGCATGGTGGTTTTCGCAATCCGAGTAAGAGTTCCAATTCGTGCCCCGCGATCAGCCCGCTAAGAAGCGGATACCTGCAATTTCGATGCTATTGACCTCACTTTTGAATTTTATTTTTCCGAAGGCCCTTAGCTCATGCGTTGAGGTACAAGTAATTCCGTATTTCATGTTCATGTAAAATATTTATATACAAAGCAATATCTACAGCTCAAATTTTAACGTCTAGACATCATTCACCACTCCAGGACGATGCTATCCCAGATGAAACCCCTCCACGTCGTGTTCCTCGTCAGATGGAACATAACCTCGTTATCCTCCCCCGTCTTCAACAGCGCCGCGGGCACGGGGAACTCGAAGAAGCGCCACTCGCCGCCCACCGTCGCGCTGCGGTACACGGAGGGGTCGTTCAGCAGGCCCGAGGTCGAGTCCGCGCCCACCGCGCCGCTCGTCAGGTTACCCACCTGCTGCCCGTTGACGAGCACCACGCTGCTGGCGCCGGTGGAGTAGCCGCCCAGCGAGACGATCAGGTTCGCCGTCTCGGACGCCTGTGCCTCGGAGACGGGGAAGCGGATCGTGTAGTTGCCCTGGTGCGTCTGCCCGTAGCACCAGTCACTCGGCGCGGACTTGCCGACTTCGTAGAGGATGTTGGCCGGGCAGGAGGCGATCACGGCGTGCGCGTAGGGCGGGTTGCCGCCGTGCGTGAAGCCGAGGGATGTGCGGTCGAAATCGCCGACTTGGAAGAGGCGCTGTCGGGCGGAGACGGCCCAGTGCAGCGTGCCGAGGTCGGTTGTCTTGGAGTCGGTGACGGAGACGTCGTTGAAGAGGATGTGCGTGGTTACGTCGGCGAGGGCGCCGCCGGCGGACCAGGCTTGCAGCGCGTAGCCGGCGTCGGCGACGCGCACGTGCGGGATCGAGAAGGAGCCGGAGGTGTCGGCGTGGGTCGTGTAGTAGTAGTCGCTGCCCATGTCGAGGGCGGTCTTGTTGGGGTGGTTGTCGCCGAGGAAGACGGCGGCGCCGGCGGCGGGGCGGCCGTCGGACAGGAGGAGCTTGCCGGTGACGGTGCCGCGGGCGTGGTAGGCCGCGTCGGCGAGCCAGGGGTACGGCCAGGCGGCGAACTCGGTCTTGGCGCGGGCCTCGGCGTCGGCGGGGGAGCCGTCGTTGAGGTACCATAACCAAGGCCCCCACATCTTGGCCGGAGGGAAGACGTCGACGGCGGAGACCTGGAAGTGCGTGCCGTGGACCATGTTGAGCTGGACAGCGTCGCCGGTGGCGCTCTCGCGGTGGACCATGAGCTCCTGCTTGAGGTGGTTGCCGTTGTAGTAGTCCTTGCCGGGGTTGATGTACCAGCTGCCGAACTCGGGCCCGTAGACGCCGTAGGCGGTCTGGTTGCGGATGAGGTCGGAGAAGTCGTACTTTGTGATGTAGCCGTCGCCCTGAGGGTTCAGCCAGGTCTCGTCCTGGACCTTGTTTTGGGGGAGGTAGTTGGCCAGGGCGGGCAGCGGCTTGTCGTGGAGGGCGGTCTTGCCGTTGGGGAAGGAGGCGTTGTCGAGGCGCCAGAGGGTGCGGAACTCGCCGAGGGTGGGCAGGGCGCGGTTGACGAAGTACTGGTAGGCGCCGGGCAGGCCTTGGAAGATGACCCAGTGGAAGTCGCCGTCGGTGGCGGTGAACTTGACGTCGATGAAGGGGGTGCCGTCGTGCGTGCCCTTGTTGGCGATGGAGGCGGAGGACCAGGCGATGTCGTTTGCCGCGCCGTCTGGGGGTGGTGTTAGTCGTTTTGTCGATATATGGGGTGGATTCAGGAGAGGGAGAAACGTACTGTAGCTCACGTAGTGCCCGACCGCGTCGCCGACGAGGTCGCGGTCCTTGTAGTACAGCTTCACGCCGTACTTGAGGCCCTGCGTCATGTTCCAGACGTCGTTGCCGATGATCCACGTCTGGTTGTTGACCTGCTTCAGGAAGGGCTCGGCCTTGGCGGCCGGCGCCGCGGACACGCCGGAGACGAGACCCGTCAGGGCCGTGGCGAGGAGTGCGGCGGTCCTCATCGTGTCGGTGAAGCGATCGTGAACGTGTTTGAGGTATGAGCTGGGCGACTAAAGACTTCTTCAGACGAAAGACACGCAGCCGTGGCGGGCGAGATCTCGGTATTTCAACCGCCCTCGCGACTCAAGACCCCGAGGTTCCAAGCTTTCATTACCCCGACTTTTCGACCCCGGATTGGCGTTCTTGCATGGCGAGCATGGTTCTGTTTCCCCAAACGAAGGGGTTGAGCCGCACAGCCGGCACGTTTGCTGCCGTTTACGGTTCGTGCTCCTCACCGGGACCCCTCACGATTGACTCGCTTGAGGGCAGGGCGACAGGAGAGCATGAGGGGGAGAAGCTAAAGCTTGGCCTAGCTCGTTGCCTCATTGCTCAATTGGGTGGTTGGACGACGTCAGCTGTCGACGAAGCAAGGTTGCTGGCCCCCCCGGTTCTCCGCATTGGAGAAGATGGGGTTTGAGCGGCGAGCCGTGATGGGTGGAAAATAGGATCTGTTTCCCTGAGTTATGCCCTTCGGGTGATTGGGAGATTGGAGAGGGCATCGAGGGTCCTGGGGTCAGCCAAGCCAACGGTGTGATGCGTCGATGTGGATTGTCCCGACTTCGGGGTACCAGCTGCCGAGATGGGTGCCTGAGCCGCGGACGCGATTTGGGGGCTTGGGAGGGGGGAGGTGTTGCCGGGCTTCCGGGGACGGATATACGAAATGACATCCGGAGAGATTGTTCTAAGAAGCTCTCGCGTCTTTCTAACCTGAAGCATTCTTAATCTTAGGAATGCAGAACAGAAGATGAAAGGATAGAGCGCCATGCTACCATGGTGATGGCAGACGTTCAATCAATTGACACTTGGGTTGTGTACGATTCTGCACAAAACGGCAACCTCGCACTTTTAGAGTTATCTTGACGCTGGGCCCCCAGCAGATATGCTGCATACGTTTGGCTTGGCACAGGCCCGGAGACAACTTACAAAAAGCGAAGTTCGACCCTCGTTCAATCCCTCGTTCGAATTGCCAATAGTGCAGAAAGCTTGTTTCCTCTACACGTACAACGGCGAGGTCGCATGCAGCAGGCTCGTACCGTACGTCCCGGAAGTCCCACTTTGAAACACTTGGTTTTCTGCCCAACGGCTTCTTGGTGGTAACGGGTCATGAGGTTGGGCAGAAGATACTACCGAGCGGAAGAGTTGTGTTAAATGAGCGTGTGTATCAAGCAGAAAGGTTGATTTGAGCAGGAGAGCCAAGGATAACCAGGTGAACACGCTCGGAGATTTGACGAAAAATGCACAGAGCTCCGGGGCAGGACTGGGATGGCCGATTACCTAAGGAGTGATTAGATCATCGTTGAAAGGCAAGCCTCAGGATGGGTGGCGCGTGGGGCACCAGCCACAGATACTGTTTTCGTTTAGCGGCTTTCGTTTTCGTATCTGCGATGGTTCAAAGGCTAGGTCCCGCCTTCTACGTTGACCATCTTTGTGCCTTCCGAGCTGGCAACGTTTTCAGATGGGAGGAGGTCTTTGAAGCCAACGATGTTGTCAAATCAACGCGCCGTTCTCCATGAGAATAGAAACGGAGCGATCCATTGTCCCAAGGCCACGGATAGTACCGCGCCGCGCCAACATCCAACGCCAGTGGCAACTTGATCAACACTTGGTCCCGTCCTATCGATCGCGCCGCGCACAGAGGGACCCCTTCCAGTCCCTCGGTCTAGCCCCTTCCCTACTCGAGTCTTGACCAAAAGCTCGCCAACTACAAGTCCTGATATCAGACGGAGGGGACAACCGCAGTGAAGGATTGAAATGCCAAGACGGCGACGGCGAACATTGGATCGTTCGCCCGTCCCCGTCTGATGGAATGCAAAGACGACACTCCGGCGCCCGGTCAGTGAAAGACACGGCCGATTCGACATCCGATGCAGCTCCCGTCCCCATTCATAAAAAGATCCCCATGTTTTCCTGGGAAACGTGGTGTGTGATGACAAGGGCCCCGCGGAGAAGCCATCAACGTATATTGTGGCTTACGCCCAATACGCCGTAGAGCAGGTAAATCGGTATCATCCGAAAGGAACCAGGATAATTAAAAAAAGAGTTGTGTTTTAGTGCAAAACAGCGTCGGTCCCTGCAGGGCAAGATCAACGCCGGCGTCCTCCGCACTCCTGGACTCGACTGGGCTGGGCAAGCCACCGCAACGGATCGCAACGCGAACGAACGCCCAAGCGTGTGGACCCAATTCGTATCCAGCATAATTCATCATCATCTCCCATTATCTATCTGGCCGTTGACCTGCATGTGTACATGTGTATATCTCATTGGAAGAAAGGGGTCAGGCGGGCACGCAGACCGGTGGACGAGGACCAGGGCAGCGGGCGTACTCCGTACATGTCCGGAATAAAGAAAACAGGGAGGAGAGGGGACGCAGAGAGATGAGATTGCGGGAAACAAAAAGGGCACATGGCTCAACTCAGTTCGGAGCGTTGAGAATGAAATCGTCGATCCGCCGATTTCTATACCCGTTTTGGCCCCCACCCAATAGTGCAGGTGCAAGCACGAATAGCAGCGTGCTGCTAAGTGTGTGCTCTCGGTGGATATCACCCTAATCCAATTTTTACGGCTCACGCAGTGGCCTACTTTCCTACAGACGGTCCCGCATGACGTTAATCATCCATCATCGCAACTAAACTGACTCGCCGACAGCTTGCAAGGGCAGCCTCCAACGATATCCAACGATGTCCGTACGAATACACACACACATGCAAGGTCCGTCGAGACAACACTATGCACCAGCCGCATCCCAGTCCATGCGCCCAGGAGAACGGCGGGCGGCCACGTCCACCACCACCGGGTCGCCGTCCCGTTGGAACTTCAGATGCTGTCCACAGTCCACCACCACCCCAGAAACCGTCATCCGCCAGTGTTCCACCGGGGCGGTCGAGACGCGGCTGTTGATTTTTTTTTATTTCTCCTCTGCCGTGGAATAGCGCCTCACTGCCGGTGCTGACGGAGGCACTTCCTAGTGCTCCAGAGTGGTAGCTACCAGAGAGACCCCTGCTCACGACCCCCAACTCTGAGGTCTGTGCCACACGCAGTTCCCTTGACCCAACGAAGGAGGCAGCTCGCATTGTCCACGTCTCCAAGCTTGGCATTTCTTCTCTCGGAGAGAGAGTGAGTCTCTCCTCAGTCTTGCAAGCACGTGTGGACCGTTCGCCGTCTTTTTTACCACCCGTCTCCGGTTCGTCGAGTCGCCCATCCCGGCTGGACAAACCCGCACCCCCTTACCTCCAGCTGGAGTTGGTTCGCTTCAGCTCGCTTCGTCCAATTCTTCAGTCAAAAGAGGACAAGTTCGTCCATCCAAGAGACGTAACGTTTCCTGCTGAGTGGCCCGCAGCCCGCTTGACGCCATCAAATTCGCGGCAGACTGCAGTGCCGATCTCTGACGCGCCTCCAACAGCGACCAGCCGGTAAACTCTAAAAACGCACGCTTGAACCCTTTCAGGCTCAGGGGGGGACAGGCACACCACGGCACATACATGCCTACTTAACTTACTAAGTTACTTATCTATTAGAGGGAGGGCTAGAGCCTAACAGTTTTGGGCTGCTCAAATCTCAGTCAAATCTTCGAAACCTGGCCGAGATCGACGTCCCGGTGGTGCTTTACTTCGCTCTGTCTGCTGCGGTGCTTTGCTTGATGGAGATACCCACTCTCGCGCCTCTCGCCCTCTTTGATTCTTCAACAATTGGAATGCCATCATCCAACACACCGCCACCATAACCACAACGCATCTCTCGCTCTCTTTCTCTCGCTTGCCACCCACCCCCTTCACCTATAATCCTGCCGTCTGCCCAACCAACCCCCACGCCCTGTCACACGTCAAGCCATCGTCCCGGGACGCGGAACAGCAGCAAGCTACTCTCTAGCTGCTGATTGCTCGCTCCTTACGCGACCGGCTCCGTTCTCCGCGAATCCTTCGTGCCAATCACTAGGAGATCCCGTTCCCACCGATCGAAAAGGCAGTTCCCACATCACATCCCCGCAGCTGGCTCTCCGTCCGTCCAACCTGCCTGCCTGCCTTGCCACCTGCCTCAGACACAGGCCACCTTCGCACGGCAGACGTCCATCGTCGTCCCAGGCCGCCAAAAACCTGAGCAACCGTCGGCCAGATGCGCAATGGACCTGGATGAAGACGCCAAGCCGAACCTGATGGCATTGGACATGAGCGCGAACGCGAGCGTCAGGAGCGACTCCCTCAACGCGTTCGACCACCCTGACATGCAGCAGCAGCAGGGGCCGAAAGCAGCCATCAAGCGCAGAGCCCCAATCGCCTGCCGAAGGTTTGTCACACTCGTTCCACGGGAGCAGCCTCGCCTCGCCTCGCTCCCCGAACCGCAGTTGGAATGAACGAGCTAAGAAACCCGTTCGCGCAGATGTCGACGAATGAGAAGCAAATGCATCCATGATAAAGCCCAACCCCCGTGCAAGTCCTGTGCCGAAGCAGGCTTGCAGGCGAGTGACTGGTACGGTACCGAGCAGCCGCCGCCGCCCTGAGAGCGACGATCCTGATGCGGCCACCCAGCTAACCCGCAACCACAGTGTCTTCCCGCAACGCGGCCAGCCAGACCTCGACCGCGAGTATCGGCACCCGCGTTTACGGGCCGAGAAGGCCGCCAAACGCGAAGCCGACAAGGCTCGTCGCAGCGCTGCCTCTGACGGCGTCCCCCGGGGCCCAGGCGCGCCGGCCGCCCGGAAGCCCGCGGACGAGTGGGCCCTGCTCCCGCCGCTCCCTGAGATCATCGACGCCGTCCACGTCTTCACGAGCAAGTACTTCCAGCTCGGCTTCATCCCGAAAGAGCTGCTGCCTCAGCAGCTGCACCGCGACCACCGCTCCGTCAGCGTGTTTCTCGTGCTCGGCATCCTCAGCGTCTCGGCGCGCTTCTCGCCCACGCTGACCGAGCGGTACGGAGGGGAGATGAAGGCCGTCGACTTCTTTATGGAACGGGCCAGCAGCCTGGCGTTGAATGAACTGTACCAGGAGCCGACGCTGGAGAGGTGCCAGGCATTCTATCTGCTCAGTCTGGCGCAGCAGGGCAGCGGATGGAGGAACCGGAGCTACGTACGTTTTGATGTCGCGGTTGATGGTGTGTTTCTGTGCTGATCTTCGGTAGATTAACATTGGGATTGCAACGAGAATGGCCGTTTTGATGCACTTGCATCGGGAAGAGTTCTACAAGATGAAGAATCCTACCAGGGAGATGATCATCAGGGCGGAGTCGGCAAGGAGAACTCTGGTGAGTTGAGACACCGTCTCAAGCGATGATAGATTGCTGACCGTGTGTAGTGGATGCTTCACAGTTCGTAGTCCAGCCATTTCAAACTCTGAACATCGACATTAACACTTCACAGGTCAGGATAACCTCCACTGCGGCGCCTTGTCGCCCGTCTCCCTCGCCGCCAACGACATCACCGCCCTCCTCCCCAGCAACGAGGACGACTTCGCCAACGGCCGCGAGCCGTACTCCCGCGCAGCTCTCGAGGACACGCCACCGGCGCGCGACAACCCGTCCCTGATCCACCAGCCCTCCCGATCTCTGTTTGCTAGCTTGATCCAGGCACACTATTACTGGGGCAAGGTTGCTAGGCGCGCAATGGCGACGATGAAGAGCGCCAACCCCTGGGACCCGACGAGCGAGTACGCGATCATGGCGAAGCAGCTAATGAACTGGGAACACCAGCTTCCTGCCGACCACCGATGGAGCATGGTGTTGCTGAAGGGACACAAGACTGTTGGCGAGGATTTGGTAGGTTTTGCGATTGACGACTACTGAAATGGAGGCTTTGGCTGACTTTAGTAGGCCTATTTGGGTGTCACGATGATTACGAAGCTGTGCAACATTGTTCTCAGGAGGGCGTACTTGGACAAGTAAGGGGTTCCTTCAGGGTTCTGATAGGAGAGCAAGCGCTGACTCGAGCAGTATCATCAAGACGGACGAAAAGGACACCCAACGCCGGAGCTTCTTCTCACAAATGTCTGACGACCTCTTCCGCAACGTCCGGGAGCTGTACGAGCAGGTTGACGCGCAGTTCAGCGTCAGGTCGTCGGAAGAGGGTGTCGGGGCCCAGATGGCTTCCTTCTGCGTTTACAGTTGCGGCTTGTTTTCGACGTACATGGTCAAGTACAAGAACAGTAGGTAGCGACAAGAAGGCGACCATGGGCATCATGCTAACTGACGTGTCTAGTCTGCTCCGACAAGTCCATCGTAGCACAAGCGCCGAACATGCTCCAGCGCTGCATGTCCATCCTGATCGAATCCAAGCAGACATGGCCGCTCGCGTCCCGCTGGCTGGAGTCCCTCGAGCGTTTCTCCCGCGATCCCAAGGCTGCCGCGTATAGTAGCATGGCAGACGGCGTACGTCACAACCCGCCACTCGTGATCCGCCAACTTGCACACTGACAGCTCACAGAATGACCGCACCCTCCGCCCATTACATCCCTCGCCCTCCACCTTCAACAAGCCCCGCGCAGAAACCCCGAAATACCAACTACCCGTCCCTCTCCCCGGTCCCCCGGCGACACCCCTCAACGAGAAGAAACCGCCGCCCCTCCGCCACAACAGCACCAGCAGCAACACCTCCAACATCCTCCCCCCGCCGAGCCCGTCGCCCAGCATCCAGCAACAACACCAGCCGCAGCAACAGAACGCCCCTTTCCCGCTGCCGCCCCTGAATACGCCTCAGTTGCTGCAGCAGCAGCCTCTCCAACACCAACAACACCTCTCTCCGCACCAACAACCACCACCGCAACAACACATGCACCAATTCCACCACCAACAACAACCGCCTCCTCCTCAAAGACACCACCAACCTCCACCTCCGCACCAGCACCAGATGCAACAGCAACAGCAACTACCCCCGGAGCTGCAGCAGCACTTCTCCCCGACAATGTACGCCCAGGCCCCGCCGCCATACAGCCCCAACAACGGCATGGGCATGCTCGTCCAGGCCGCCTTCGACACCACCAACCCCATCGGCTCACCGGGCTACGACCCGAATGTGGCGGTGTTCTACTCGTCCCCCGGCTCCGCGAGCATCACCCTCGGCCCCGGCACCGACGGCTTCGAGTGCGAGCTGCAGAGCTGGTTCGACGGCACCGCGCCCGTGCAGGCGACGAGCTGGATAGGGAATGGCGCCGCGGGGTTGGGGTGGTTTGGGTCGAACTAAACCGTCCCTTTACAAAAGGGGCTGGTAGATCACAACTTTCGACATTTTCCTTAACAGTTATAAGTAAGAGATAAGAGGGGGATGACATCAGGTCCCACGGGTTTACAAAAGATGAGGCAGGCGTCTTAGACTGGGTTCCGCAACGACATTGGATTTATCTAGAAGAGATACGGGTTGCGCTTTCTTCTTTCCTTTTTTTTTAATATGGTCCGGTTATATAAGGATTCGGGCGCGGCGCGAAAGAGAAAAGAAAATAAGGGTCCGCGATGGGGGAGGTTTATTATACCACACACCCCCCATTTGGTAGCGGCGGCGTTTTTCTTCTTCTTTTTGTTTAGGCAAGCGAAGCGAGGCAAGCGGCAAGCGGAACTGTCTTGTTTTGTCGGTTGCTTAGAGATGAGATACCAAAGTGAAATTCTACGCTTTTTTCCTTGACTTGGTCACGATGTGGTTCCTGGGAAGTAGTATGTGTGATGAGGTTGCTGTGTTATCTCACGGGGGTGTTCATGAGTCTGATCACCTGGGAGCCCTGCCGTTGTTATTGCCCCATAATGTATCTTCTTCGTGTTCACCTCAAGACACGTGGTGATCATGCCTTCAATGTTCGGCTCGTACAGCGATCAATATTCGCGGCCGTACTGCCAAAATATTCAAATTGCTCCAGGGATTGATGTTTGTGACAAAAATTGCGGGAAGGTAATGAGTTCTCGGTATTTTCTTTCATTCCGCCAAAGTCTGATGGACTATGGCCGTTCTTGGTCATCCCAGGTCGTACCGAGTTCTGATGTATATCCTGTATTCACAAGTCAGTAACAGATCATCTGGCGAGTATTCCCACCTGTACAAACCTATGTAGACGCCGATCGAGTATGTGTTGTATCAGAGTTATTGACAAAACAGGGCTTTCAGTTGGAAAGCAGGGTCAGTGTGGAATTTTGATGCGATACTGGCGTTCTGCTCGCTCCAGGAGAATCTTTCAATGTGCATTGCCGCCTGGTAATTAGAATAGAGAACTAACAAATCTTGAGATGGCTTTTTATACATGTACATGTACTGTGTGCTGTAGACACCATCAGGCCTGAACCTGTGATCTGCCGCAGCCCACCTCAGTATAAAAGCATACGTTAGAGTGGTGTAGTTCAGAAAGCAGGGAAATGGAAGCGAAATAGATATCAAGCTCGCCGTGTGTTCTTGGCACCATGTTTGTCTCTCGAGCCATACCCGCCAACCCGATCAACGATGCATGCGTTCAATCTTTGAGGTTTTTCGAGTCGGTACCCAGTGTCTGCCAGCGTCTTCGTTAAGTGGGTGTTGTGTACGAATAAAGGCCAAGAGGCGCACAGCTTTGAATGCAAATCTACTCCGATGTCTGTTCCTCAAGTTCCAAGCAGCGTTGTCGTCTGGATCACATCACTCAAGCCTTCATCGTGCTACAAGTGGCGACCATCACCAGTTCTATACCCGCATTGCGTCTTCGCTGCCTCCTAAGGATGTGGTTCACAAGTGTCTACTTATTCATAGTAGCTATCTCAGTAGCCGTATAACTCACTGCAGGTAGCAACGAATTCAGGGGCTGCTTCGGGCGTCACGAAAGTTTCGACAAGCTTTAGATTCGACCTGGAGACCTGATGTATAAAAGTTCCTCAAGCGACGCCTACTATCCTGCAACAAGAAAGCAAATAGCGAGTGACGAACAATGGCATCATCTGACATAGGAACAGAAAGACTTTTGAACAAACAAGATATCATATCGGGCATCAGGAGATGAGTCTTTCTTTTAACCATCATCCATCACCTGCAGTGTCTCGAGAGCATTCCACATTATCTCTTTGAATCGTCAGAGGGCAGAAGCTCAAACCACGCTTGTGGGACTGAATAACCGCTTCAGGGCCAAATTGGTGTTATTTATGCCTCGCCAGTGTTGTAGGAATGAGGAATGATGGCTTTGGCTACGCTCAATCACCCACCTTCGAGAGCTCAACACCTTTGCAGATGGAAATGGGATTCGGTGATGAGCTGTATTTAAAGATGAGCTGGCCGCTCTTCAAGCAAAATTTTCTTGGCACTGGGTAACGATTTCACACAAGGTGAACGAGTCGATAAGTTAAGAGTTCATTCACACCAGATGCATTACCTATAAGAGGCCCTCGGGTTACTGTACCTGTCCCGCAACAAGACGGCAAATGTCCTTGTCCACGGCGTTGGTTCTAAGCAAAAACCGACATAGCTGTTTCACTTGGGAAATTCTACTGTGACACGCATAAAAAGTTGCATATCTGATGGTACCGTTTTGATACATTAACGTCCCACACCCACTTCTGGGCACCCCCCACATTTGGGCACCCCATTTTTGATGCCCTCACCTTTATACACATCAACTTCAACCAATATTTATATGTATTATGATGCGACGACGATGCAACTTTCGCTATCACTAGGGTTTTCTGACTCGCTGGATTCATCTGTGCTACTTTCAAGTTCGCCCGCCTCGATTTGAGCCCTCCGAATAGCCTCAATATCGGCAAACTTCGAATTTGGGCTCATTTTGACCTTCTTCCGTTTCCTGGCCCTACTGGCATCAACCTCTGCCTGCAGTGCCTCAATCTTTCGCTGGGCTACTGCTAATTGGTATGCCTTCTCATCAAAGCCCTTCTGAACCTTCCGGAAAAGCAGGCGCTGCGTATGCTCATCGTTATCTAGCTTGCTGAACAGGCTGAACTGATCCTGAAGCTCATCCCTCTTCTTGGGGGTTGACCAAAGGACTGCTGATGTATCTGCCGCCCATTTTTCGCTTGCTTTGCCATCAGAGAGCCCTTTGCAGACCTGACCAGCTGGTTTGGCAGGGGTTGATGTGTTCTCAAGCAGCAGAGGGCTCATGAGGGGTCTAGCCATACTGACAGGCCACAAACCAGTCCATTTCCAGCCACTGATGATGTTCTTGCTTGTCAGGGCTGCCTTACGCGCCTTGCCATAGCATATAACGAAGTTTCTCTTGCCCACAACTGTACCAGCATCCCATTCAGCCAGTAATCCAAGCTCCTTCTTGTATGCTGCCTTGAGGGGCCCAAAAACCGACTGATCAAGTGGCTGAAGGACGTGTGACGTGTGTGCTGGCAAGAACAGCAAGTGTATCTTGTTCCTGAAGCATGTATACATAAAAGCAGTAGTCTCATGGCTTCCATGACCATCCAAAATCAATAATCTGACCTCTGAGGGGTCCCCTGGCTGGGTTGAAGGAATAAAGACCTCTGTTAACCACTTGACAGCTGTAGAGTCTGAAGTCCACCTATTTTCTGTAGCTGTGAACTTCCAGGATTCATATGGCGTCAGATCTAGAGGGAACCACTGCTGCTGGACACTCTTGCCCTTGTATATAACAAGTGAAGGCAGTGCCTTGCCAGTTGCAGAGATACACTCGATCAGAGATGTCCAAGCACGCGATCCAGGCTGTTTCTTGCGGATAGAACGAGTTTCTGATGATCCAAGGACAAGCCCATTTGATCCTCTGCCTTCTAGAATACCAGTCTCATCCATATTGTATCGATTGGAGGCCTTGATGGCCATGATCTCAGGTATGGCGAGGTGCTTGAACCATTGCCTGATTACATTAGTTGAAGCTCTATTGATACGCTGGGAATCGATTTCTCTGCTTCTTTGGACCCTTACAGATGGGTTTCTCTTAATAAAAGACTGCACCCAGTTCTTTCCAAGAGGCTGGGAGTCTCCATGGATCTGTAGGATGCGTTCAGCAAAATCCTTGAGTTGCTGATGGGTTGGAGGAAGGCCTAGGGCAGCCTGGATTCGAACCCATTCAGCCAGATGACTTTCCTGGGTTGGAGAAAGCCTTTGCAGATCAGAAAACGCTATATCTCGCGTCTGCACACCTCTGATCCGATTCTGTAGAGTTGAACGCGGCACACCATGCTCAAATGCAGCTTTTTTGACAGATGTACCGTTTGCGATAGCAGCAAGCGCCCGTAGGACGTCATCTTCGGAATATGAGGGCATCTGATGCTTATAAAGCTATATACCAAGAATGAAGTCAATTGGGTAAAGATTGATAAAGTTGTGTAGGTTTGAAGGTGGCGGGTATTCATGGCGGTGAGGCATTTTTGGGGTGCCCAAATGTGGGGGGGTGCCCAGAAGTGGGTGTGGGACGTTAGTGGACAACGTACGCTTTCATCATTTGTCGTCTGCCGCGGTTTGGAAGTATTCTGGATATATCCCTCATTATTATATTACAAAGGGACGAAAACACATCTCAACTCAACGTTACTTGCCTGAAGAGTATGATTGACACCACCACAGCGAAGTATTCCCAGCCCAACTTCATCAACGGATCTACGAACACAGCCGCCAGATCACACACGGGGATGAAAAGATTTCTCATGCTACTGCGGTTATCTCGCAACAGGATAGCCAACTTTTGGCTGAGATACAAACGCTTTTGACTTAGAGAAGACGGAGGATTGCAGCCTACGAGGAGCTACGTCTATTGTGATGGTCTGGAGGAGGTGAAACTTACCGCTATTGCTATTCGTCTTTGGCATCGTCGTGAAATTATTCGATATCACTCCTTGTAATAAACCGGAGCAAGATCCTAGGCCACAATGCCTAGGTTGGTTGGAAAAACCTCCGCGAGTCGATTTGGATGGATGATTGTGTCTCGCCAGCAAGACTCAAGGATGAGGCATGCTGTCTTTAGCAATGCTCAGTCACTTCCGACAGAGCGAACAAATTGTGCAGAACGAAATGGGACTCGCCGATGGGCTTTATTTGTAGCAGAGTCGGCCGATGCAGATTCTCACAGTCTGTTCAATCGCTGTTTTTTTTCTTTAAAACAACTGTTCAACAGTACCTGCTCACACTTACGTTCATCGCAGAAACGAGGCAGTGCTCTTGGTCACTTGCATCCAGTCTGAGTCATCTTTGGCACAATAGAGATCATTCAGTGCTTTATCTGTGTCACTCTCGACATTGCCCACGAGCCTAGATCTCTGAATACTTGACCAGGGGTCAAAAACACCAGCTCCAAAACAACTTATCGTCGTTTATCGTTTGCCGTGCGATGACTGCATTGTCTACGGAGGCTGCGGTATTTGAACACTTGAACACTGCACCACGAAACCCCTAGCAAACGAGTTTATCATTCTCTGCTTCGCTCATGGTCGCCCTGTGACACGAGGTATTCAGTTTAAATACCATTCATCATAACTGGAGTCAGACACTTTCTCGTCCGAATGACTGGATGTTGGCCAGGTCAGTGTCTGGACTTGTTGCACTTGTAGTTCCGATCATGAACGATTCATTCATTAATGCTCACTCGTTATGCGGTTGGACTGTGTCGGTGAGAAAGCGGTAGGATCCAACTGCTGCTTTGGCAGTCTTACTATTTACTATGCGAACCGAGGGCTCTATATGCCAGACTTATTTATAAGCTTGAGTTCTGTGGGCATTTCTTCTGACTTCAACCAGAGGTCCAGCCCTGGGGTTTTTGCTGTCAACCCGTGCGTGGAGGTAAAAGCTCGTTACAATGCGTTATTCGTATTCAATTCCTTGCAAGTCGTTCAATGCTGACGGTACCACTTCTCGCCAGATCCTTCGGGAATCTCCTCGCGGTCAAAGGTCCAGAAGTCGCTCGAAAACCTGCCCGCTCGCTCAAACCAAGCGTCCGGGAGGTCCTCAGGGCTCAGTTTCATGAGGCCGTTGTAATTATCGGCATCCTCGAAACCTTGAAAACGTTTCACGGCGAGGGAGTCAATGAGCCAGACAAATGAGCCAGCCCACAACTCATGTCGTGCCTTGTGGCGAATGTATCAGTATACAAGAGCAAACTTCCTACTAAAACAGAAACTTACGCGTCTCTCAGCACGAGACAAAATCTCCAACGACGGCGTCTCTTCAGGCAGCACGGCGAGGGTTCGAAGAGAGGCCTCATCAATGACTAAGAAGTCGCAAAATCTCGTGTTGTCGCGAGGATCGAAATTGATATCGCCAACCGCTTCTTTGCGCCAGCCCTCGAAAATTTGGGTCAGAGATTGAACGTCTTGTTGAGGAGTATCCACAGACAGATTGGGTAAGTTCAAGTCCTTGAGAGCTTTATTCTCAACAACTTCGAGAATAAACCGACGCGCAAGTTCCTTGTTAATTTCACCGTTGGGCTTATTTTTAATGAGTTGATTTAGGTGGATAATATACTGCGTTACCCATCGGTTGAACTTCTGTAAGGCGATAGGCCACAGTGTGTCAGACTCTTGGGTGTAGACGACGCGAAGCACTACAGGGCATGTGAGAAAAAACGGAAGAAGTCTGATATAGATGTGATGTACCAGTGTATCCCCATGATCCCTCCGCGTACGTGACGCCTGACTGCCTGCACCGGCCCATAGACCAGTAGAGCTCTTGAACCCATCTCATGGCCTGAGTGTCTTTGTCGCGGTTGCTTGCGTGACTGTGATATTTGTAAAACCTTGGGTCAGGCTCGGGGAATGTTCGTTGGATTGACATCGTGAGATTTGGGGGCTTATCGCGCTTGCAGTAGGACACGCATGAACACCGTCTTCCAGATTCACGCAAGATGTCGCGGTCCTTCCACAAAGGGCGCTGCCATTTGAGACGGTTGGTGAACTCGACCGGCATAACCAACCACTGTCCGAAGATGGTCCGGCGCTGCACCGGCGGGTCTCTCGGCCGCAAATGGCCCGGTTTGAAAAGAGGGGTCCCTCTTTCCCCTAGACTACGAGAAACTCGGTTTAGCTTCATGTGCGCTGTATGCACTAAACGAGTTCTCGTCGTACATCTGAAGCTTGTTAATAACTTGAACAGGTCATGAGACGGCATGAGAACATGCTTTCCCGTAAGCACAAGCTTTGCATTTTGGTAGGGCTGCACTTGGTTCCAAAGGCCGTCGGCACCAAGCCGACTCTTCAAGATTGACCTCGACTCCGAATCTCCGACTCCTGATCCAGCGCCCGCCGGGAGGCTACTCCAAATGGACCGCAAGTTAGACTTGCCCGGCCGGCATCGCGAACCCGACCGCTTAGACGACATAAGGCCACTTCAAAATACCCTGAACGGCGTCGTACTCGTCATTTAGCTCGCCCTCTGCATGCCATCAATGCATCATGCAGATCACCGGCAGTTGGTTCCAATCTGTTGTTACCAGGGCCAGAATCTTTGGCAAGAAAGTTTCGACAAAAGAGTCGAAGGGGAGTGCGAAGCGAAAATTCGCCGAACATCGCTTGCCTAGGTGTGAATAATGAATGGAGGTGAAACTGGGCGCTTTGCCTTTATGGGACGCGACCAACTCGCGCATATCCAACAGTTCACGGATGAAGCAACCGTCTTCCGCCTCGCCACTATGCCTCGGGAGAGTTTGGCCTTGCTTAGATCTCAGCTATAATCAAGGGCGAATTAAAGTTCCTCCCGGCGAAGCATTGAGTTCCTTCAACATGCCGGGAACTTGAATCGCTGACATGATGATCAGATGAGTTTGTAGTTACGACGCAGCCCCCCGGAAAAAGACTTCCGTAAATATACCCTATTCGCGGGCCCACTCTGGAAAGATTCTATGGGCACTTTGACCTGTGCTCTCTACCGGTTAAGGAAAAAGTACAGAAACCCCACACGTTCCTGCTGGCAAGCAAACTCTCTGAACATCAACATCACTTAGAAAGGTTCAACTGGGATCAGGCGAACATCTCCCAAGTTACCTTTTGTCCCGGAGGGACTTCTCCAAGACCAATTCTGTGGAAGACACAACCAACAAGCTTTCACTAGACTGCACGCCCATCTCCTTAAGCAATTAACCAAAGAAACTCTAGCGGAAGAGTTCTAGCTGACAGGGGGAAAAGTTCAAACTAATGGCAGGCCGCAGACCGTACTTGTACTCTTACTACTATCATTGGGCAACCGTGATAATACCACAATGGAACCGCAATGACTCAGTCGTATATGTATTGATAGCTAGGAGAGGCAGTCCTGGACTGCTGTTTTTCCTTTCAGCATTTGTTAGCGTTGAGTCTATCATAATGCTGCGTGCCCCCACAAGCCGAAGATGAACGAGGATCTCTTGTTGGGTTCGACAATTGGATATCCCGTTGTGAATCTCCTCGAACCCGGCCGTCATATCTATCTCTAGAATAGTGCAGCAACAAGAGAGAAGGATCCGAGCTGTCGATTTTCTCACATCGCCTCCTTATCGACGAAGCAGAATCCTCTCTATCTTTAAAACATGAAATGGCAGATGGGCTATTCTCGGCTGAACGCCGACAGCGAACTGGCATTGCCGCTTGAAGCTGAGAAGTCATCTGCTTCATTGAATCGTTGGATGTCAAGTTTTCGTTCGAACCCGGTTGAGTTTGTATGGCGCTTCACATGTTATTTCATGTTCTTCACCGGTGCTTTGATGATGGTGACAGCTCTGAGATCTGCCCCGTCAGACAAGTACTGTGCTGCGCAGCTCAGTATTTGGTGTAAGTGTGATGAGCTCCTTTTCTTTTCTTTTTCTTCCAAATTTCCCACTGCATTGCAAATATGGGCAGTCACTGATGAATCAACTAGCTCCTCTATTGGAAGCTGTCGAGTATGAGCAACGCGACTTTGAAAGTGGCCTCGGATTAGATAACTCAGGCTTCACCGGCCTTCCCACTGCAGAGATGGAGGCTAAGTGGGAAAGTCTTTCCCAAGGTATGAAGAGATATCTCACCAGACCAGTGAAGTACACGTATTGCTGACACTTGATCTTCTATAGTCCCTGGTATCATCATTCCACCTGATCGTGTTCCCTATCTCAACAGAAGCGTCGACCAAGGTTTTGTGACCGCGGTTCCCGACTCTCCTTCCTTAGGTTACGTGGGTGTAGTCGAGGTCTTTCATCATCTCCATTGCCTCAACATGCTACGGCAATACATATGGAAAGACTCATACCCTCAAGATATAACTCCCAGCCTCCTCAAGTCTAATTCGCCAGCCATTGCCCGGGATCACACAAGTCACTGTATTGATACGCTGCGTCAGGCACTCATGTGCACCGGCGACGTTACCCCATATTTGGTTTACAAGAAGAAAGATTCTGAGGCGTCAGACGCGCCTATCAGAGAAGACTTCCAGGCATCTCACAAATGCAGGAAGTTTCCCAAACTACTAGACTGGGTGAAAAGGAATGGTGTTACACTCTCGTTGAAGTCAGTAAGCCAGAACATGTAGTAAACTATTACTATCCTCTTGATGGTTATCTCAGTTTTGCCTACATTGCTTATCCTGTTTAAGAAGAGCTGCTAAGCTCGTTGGTTTTGCTTGGTCAGGATCGTGGTACTGCACGCGAAGCCCTTGCAGGAAAGCTCCAAGGGAACGTATGCTGTGGACAGCCATGTGCTCAGTCTCTCCGAGAAGAACCTCTCTCTGCACGTGGCGAACGAGGTCAATTAGGGATATTCTGCCGACTGATCGATTCTCCCGCAGTCAATCCGCTTCTCCTGACTTGATGTCAATATTTCTGCGGGGATCTTGCCTGTCAGCTCAGCCAAAGGCTTATTCTTGTATAATTATGTCCATGGCATGATGCAGTCAACAAACGGGGCGCCCCTTCAAGAGTTAATCTGTAAGATGCCGACGGATATGTGCCTTCATTGTAATTCGTCTCTGTCGTGACCGAGAGACTATCCCGCCCACCGGCTGCTCCGCCCGCCCGCTACTCCGCCCGCAGCTGCTTCTGGATTATGACACTACAGGCAGGGACAGAGGAGTGACATGTATGTCATGTACTGAGAGACGGTCCATGAGTTCGTCATCTAATGGATAGTGTGTGGGAGCAACTGGGTCAGTAACTTCGAAAAGGCCGAACCAACCGAAGTGTAAGTGATGTGGCGGTGGAGATGGTAGGGATGTCAGGAATCCTTTAGACCCTGAACAACTGCCCTGATGTATAAGGCCATCAGTCATCCCACGTTTCCACGTTTCCACTTCAGATCGGCCCGTTTATCATTGGACCTTATGTCCCTCGCACAAATAGGTATATCCCAGTAGCCTTTAGTCCCAATGGAGTGGATGAAATATGCCTTTTCTAGCTTTACTTAGTCTGAACCTTAGACTCCAAAGAATCACACGCAATAAAGGTAAAGCCATGAGAATGAACTGGATTGAACTGTACGATGGTTAAGCTGAAAAGATTCGAGTAAGGCACATGATGCCGACATAACTTTAGCTCAAGATGGCAGGGGAACACATTAAGTTCCAGCTGCTGAGAGGGCTAAGATGAGGTTGCGAGTCGGCATGTTGATGTCAGGTCAGTTTTTCCGGAAACGAGTTAAACAGCATTGGTTATCATGAGAACCGTGCGGAGCATCTGCAAGATTTGGGGGGTCAGTGGGTGTCACCTCCAAGAGAACGTAGGCGTGAAGTTATGGTGCAACGCCATCATTCAGCTGGACTGACGACTTTGGTACTGCGCCCACCCAAACAGTTTTGCTGGCCCAAACATCGCTGCTCGGTTCAATAATAGGGGAATAGGGAGTACAGCTCCAGTGCCGAACGAGACTCACCATACATGCCTTGACGCTAGCAGGATGAACTCCATGTCCTGTCCAAACGACGACTCAATTGGGCCGAGTGTCCAAGGCTGTCGTAATGACTTCGACTTCACGCTCAAGTTCGAGAGAATCTTCCTGTCAATCCTACCCGCTACCTTATTCGTCGCTCTGTCGATCCCAAGGATCATAATTTTGGTTCGCAGACCAAAGATAGTGGGCGGTGTAAGCTTTCAGTGCATCAAGCTCGTACGTGCCTCGTGAAATATGTGTCAACCACTCATGTTAACTCATCAGAATAGGCTGCAACTACAATCTACACAGTCTTACAACTGGTCAATCTCATTCTCATCAGTACAGTTACCGCCCGGGCAACGTTGATATCAACTGTTGCTGCTGCTATGAGCCTTATCGCAGCACTATGCATGCCGGTACTGAGCTTCTTCGAGCATTCTTGCTCACCGCGACCTTCCATCTTGCTCAACACATTCTTGATCTCAACTATTCTCTTGGATGCTGCACAAGTACGATCGCTATGGCTATCCGCCGTTACCTTCCGCGAAGTCACCATAGCGCGAATATTCACTGCTGCCGCCGTCTGGAAGATTGTCTTGGTTGTGTTGGAGTCTTGGCAAAAACTGCCGTGGATTCCCTGGAACCGCAAAGATCACAGCCCAGAGGAAACAAGCGGCGTATTTGGATTAGCGACCTTCTCATGGCTTAATCCGCTATTCATATGTGGTTATAAGAGAGTCTTGACTGTGCCAGATCTCTTTCCTCTCGACAAGAGTTTGTCAGTGAAGACTCTCCAGGACACTACCCGAAGACTAGAGCCTGAGCGCTTCCAGGGGCAGAGCCATGGCCTTGCCAGAGCGCTCGGGAAACGCCTGGTCGGTCCTTTATTACTGCCAGTTGCTCCCAGGATTATGCTCCTTGGCCTTGTTTTCTGTCAGCCATTTCTCTTGGAGGCTCTTCTGAACT